AAAGCATGAATAGTAAGTAGTTGATGGAACGGCTTTTTAATAATCCTAAAGGTACCGTCCATGAACCACTGCCTACTCGTACTTAAGTGCTGTAATTGCCGGTCAGTGGCAAACACTAGATGCCTCTCGCCTTCGAAAGAAATCATCCGGCAGGAAGTTTTCATATAACTGAAAGTAGAAAACAGAACCATTACACATGTATTACACAATAGTGTTTATTTGAAATATATTAAAATATACTTAAATAATTACTACACTGGATTTTACACAACCATATCACAAACCTCAAAGTCCAAGGACCTAGGTTCCTTCGGCCGAAGGAGCTCCCTCGTACGGTTGGCCATCCGTACTAGGGTAGCTTGGTTTTGTCGTCCACCAGGCTTGTCAGGATTGATATGTTTCTGATGAGCTTCCTCAGCGATGCTGGCGCCTGACTTGTAGATGTTACCCACAGCATTTTCCTTCACCTGCAGAACATATAACAATTACACAATTACACAGGTCGATTAATACACTACTCAATTACAGGCCGATTAACACACTGCTCAATTAAAGGCCAATTAACAATCTACTAAATTATTGTGACAGTCAATTATTAAACAAACACGATAAATACCCCCACTCTCACTCGGATTGCTGTCAACTGGCCTGGTGGGGGTGGATGGCAATGGCGATGTTTCCCCTCTTCAAATGAAGCCCCAAACTGAATAACAGATGCAGGACACGTGGTCGTCTTGTTCCTGACACTGCAGCGCCAGTACGTTCGAGCAGTTGTTGATTTCTGTAACAAAAAAATATTATTATACACCGTGATGGCATTCAACTTATTTATATATTATGTATTTATTACTTATACATTATTTATTTTACTGCCGGGTCCTGTGGAAATCTGTGCATGGTGACACCATCGCCCGAAGGGTTAGGAGCAGTTGACGACAACGCAACGATTCGGCTTGTCTTCGTTGATGTCGAGAAATCATAAAAATGACAAGCTTCTTACACACTTTATATACAACTAACTGAAAATCCTTCCTCACATGACGTGACTGCAGTGCTCTGGCGACAAATTTACGTAACCTGTCTGTGGTTTCGTTGGCGGGTGAGAGTGAAGCAGGCGACTTTTAATCGTTCGGTATTAATTAACTACAAGTTTTTTAAGAATCCTTCATATGTAATGGTTAAAAGAGTAAAAAAAAAGAAGTTTATTTGTTCTTTAAGTCTGTGCAAGATATAGTTTTGCATGAACTAACCAGATTATGCCATGACAATGTTGGACTATATTTCTCCTGAATTCTTTCATTCCACTGCAAAGTTCATATGGTATGGAAATCTTTGAGAAGACATTTTATGCACCAGGCTAGGTATTCTCGAAACGTTCGTAACCCTACGAACATCTTAACCCAATTCTTAACACATTGGCTACGATCAAAGTTAAGAATTCTTAGGGCTACGAACGTTTCGAGAATAAGGGCCCAGTTAATTAAAGTTGCTCAGTCTGAGAAAATACAGGTGTTGCGTAATGAATTTCCATATGTATAGCAAAGCCAGAACTATTTATGTATATATCACATACCGACGTTACAGATTACAAGTGTCCTGTTTTCGTATTGTTTGAAATATTCCAGTTAAACTTTGATTGATGTATGTTTAGTACAGTGGACAATTGCACAGAAACTTAGTTACTTATTTGTCTGTCGTACAACTGAGGTTGGAACCGGTCAGTTCCGTGGTGACAGACAGTGTAAGTTATAGATACATATATAGGTTATCAGTCTGATTTCATCCCTGTGCTCTTTTGGGGATACAGTGGTCGTAAACAGGTGATTCCGCATGGACGCCAATTCTATCCGAAATTGTGCACTTCTGTCTCAATTGGTGGGCTAACAGTCAAGAAGATCTACATTGGTATTTCACTGGAGCAATGTAATGGAGGTCAGAGTGAGAGGTTAAAGTCCCACAACGAAACTATGCGATTTAGGTTAGGATTAGGATACATTTTACATAACTATTCTGTGCTGTGGCGTGCTGTGCTGTGCTGAGCTGTGCAGCAGTGCTCTTGTTGAGGAATTCTACATTACAAAAAGCTACCAAACACATTGATTCTGTGCAAACTCAAAAGTTTAGATTTATGAGTAGTTAGGTAGGGGTAGGTAGGTAGGTAGGTAGGTAGGTAGGTAGGTAGGTAGGTAGGTAGGTAGGTATAGGATGTTCTCCTGTTGCATGCTGACCAACTTGCCACATGTCACACACCACTAACTGGATAAAGATAAAATATTTTACAATACAAATCATTTGGTGGCATTGTTTTTCGATAAAGATATAACCGTTAAAGGTGTCTTGAGGTTTATGGAAATGTTGGTCATAGGCCATGTTGATAATGAAATTGATGACCTTGTTGTAAATTCTAAACTCTGGCAGTGAAAGATAAAGTAGAAAGTGCAGTAAAATCACTCAAAACAAGAACGTCAGTTGGACCATATGAATTGATACCAGAATTCTTCATTTTCAGATTGGATGTTCTTATATATACACAGCGGTGGGGTAGCCTAGTGAATAAAGCGTTGATGTTTTATGCTCCTTATACGGTTATCTCCGGGACAGAAGGTTTCACTTGTATAAAAGTCAGCATATTAACATTTAATCGAGTTGTAGATTCTCAGGTAGCACCCTATCAGCTCGTCTTTACTAGTTAATCCCTCGTGTATGCTGGCTTCATGACTGGTGCAATTTGCTCTTCTTACTCCCATCCCATCATGTTACATACCAAGTGTTTGCCAATTAACTGCTGTCGTTAATATCATAACATAGTATGCATATATGCATCTGATCACTTGGTCGTAGTCACTTTTAGCTTGATAACGGCGCAAGAATCTATATCTAAAGGTCGTTCTATGCAATCAACAAGAAGTTATCCATAAAGATGTAGGCTTCATTATTAACCAATGTTATCCGTAAAGTTTTATGCTTTATTATAAACAAGGAGCTGTTATCCATAAAGTTGTATGCTACATTATTGACAAGAGGTTGTTATCATTAAAGTTGTAAGCTTCAATATAAACAAGGAGCTGTTATCCGTAAAGTTTTATGCTTTATTATAAACAAGAGGTTGTTATCATTAAAGTTGTAAGCTTCTGTATAAACAAGGAGCTGTTACCCATATAGTTGTAGTACATATTAACAAGGAGCTATTACCCATATAGTTGCTATATAAACAAGGAGCTGTTATCCACATTATTAACAAGAGGTTGTTATCATTAAAGTTGTAAGCTTCAATATAAACAAGGAGCTGTTATCCATAAAGCTGTATGCTTCATTATAAACAAGGAGCTGTTATCCATAGAATTGTATGCTTCAATATAAACAAGGAGCTGTTATCCATAGAATTGTATGCTTCATTATGACAAGAAGCTGTTATCCATAGAATTGTATGCTTCATTATAAACAAGGAGCTGTTATCCATAGAGTTGTATGCTTGTATGCTGTTATCCATAGAATTGTATAAACAAGGAGCTGTTATCCATAGAATTGTATGCTTCATTATGACAAGGAGCTGTTATCCATAGAATTGTATGCTTCATTATGACAAGGAGCTGTTATCCATAGAATTGTATGCTTCATTATAAACAAGGAGCTGTTATCAATAGAATTGTATGCTTCATTATAAACAAGGAGCTGTTATCCATAGAATTGTATGCTTCTTTATGACAAGACGTTGGTGTCCATTACGTTGTAACCTTCGGAACTATCATCAGATAGTTGTTGCTGCAGCTGACATATTGTCTCTGTTGTTAAATCCATCAACATGAATGAATGAATGAATGAATCTCTTTATTTCCTCCAGATTATATTCCGAAGATCATTATAAACATGTACATGAAATATTTACAGCAACATCATCACAGCAATATATTCACAACACATTCATATAGTCATATATATGTACAAAGAAAAGATGAAAGGTCTAGAATGCACAGTTTAGTGAGGGAAGCAAGGAATATAGGTATTTACAGAAGAGGACAATCATACATCTCCATGACATTTCATCAATATCGTTAGTAACTAGTAGTTCACCCCCAGAAAATAGTGATAACATTTCATCTTCAGATAATAACTCTATTTGTACATAAACATCCACATCAAAGAGATCTATAAGTTTTGAAAAGAAATTATTTCTGTTGTACATATAGTGTTCACAGTGTAAAATTATATGGCAGTCATAATCATTACAATATCTTTTGCAGAGTTCACAATGTTTTGAGAATTTTCCCCTTGAGCTGATTTGTACACAAAACTGTAATATATCTTTAAACTGTGGGTAAATATACATCAAACAATACAATCTATGTACACCAAAGAAATTGTGGGTCAAGCGATATCTATTCATATCGTGCCTTACACACACGTGAGAAATCCATCGTTCAGTTTCAGGTTTATTTATGCAATTAATAGTTATTCCTCGCCATGACGATTTACATGGAAACCTTCCAAAATCGAGATAGTCACTAAGATAATTGAAGAGACTGTATTTTAAACTGGTTTTAATAAGTATGTCACATATACTGTGTAAGACAGCTGTTCTGTTTTGAAAGGTGGCTAAATGTACACAGAAAATATCCTTAAATGAAGAGTTACACTTGCTGTTGCACAGCTTGCCGAGAAATAGTAGTCTACATTTATCTATATAACCATCCATGTTCCACAATCCAAGGTTACCTAGCACTGAAGCAGAGGAAAAGCGCTTACCGAAACCCTGAATGCATCTGGCAAAATATCTCTGTGTACTTTCTACCAAGTCATAATCTTTACCTCGAAGAATGGGTAAAAGTTCACAACCGTAAAAGCTCGTTGGAAGTATCATTCTTTTCCATATTTTAACAGAAGAAGTAGGGTGGAGATCTTTACCATTTAAACCAAGACTTTTTAGAGAATTTACAGATTGTCGTGCTTTCTGGCAGTATGAATATACTCTAGATTTTAGGGATAGATCAGACGAAAGTAAAATGCCTCCATACTTAACACAATCACTTATTGGTATTTCTGAATCACCAAATACGGACTCATTGGGAAACAATTGGGTTAGTTTTCTTACCATACAAGGTCTGAAAAGTTAGTATAAAAATAGATGCATTTATCTGATGGATCGGAATGTAGTTTAGTAACCTGTTGTAACGGCTGTTTTATGCGTTGGAGATAATGACACAGCTCATCAGCCACACAGTGTTTAAAATTTAAAGTGCACCTGGACACAAAACCTTGATGATGAATGGTGTCAAGTTCTTGAATATACGCGTTATACCATATATAAAACAACCATAGTCAAGTTGAGATCTATTTAATGTTCTGTTGATATAGAGCAGTGTTTGGCCCCCACCCCAGTTAGCATTTGAAACTACCTTTCGTATATCAAGAGGTTTTAAGAATTTAAATTAAAGGTCACATGCAACGTAAAACACAACTTTGCAGATTCTGATACCTTTCGGTATGGACTTACCGGAACAAATCGTCAAAAATGCAAATTCAACTTATAAAGTTGAAAAATAACGCGATGAAAAAGGCGCGAAATCGGAGTTCAAACGTTTCACTAATTTTCCCCAGACTTTTCTGGGGAAAACGGGTTTCAACAGCTGGGCTGCGCTCATAGCACATGCGCAGTGAAATAGGTTGCGCAACTGGGAAGAGGGTTGTCCGGTGAATACTCGGTGAAGGCTTTGGTGTGAGCTATTTTTCTAATGTTTTGTTGATATTTCACAGGCGCGAGTTTTTTATATGTTATGACAGTAGATTACCGATTTAACTGTTTATATAATTTCATTTGTCTATTTCACCACACGTTCTTCTTACCGAGTCACTTTCTCAGTTCGATACTTAAGAGCAATGCCATTATTTAGCGTTGACAGAATTTCTAACTGTGTCTGCCTGCCTGTCTGTGACACAGACATGTCGTTGTCACAGACAAAACTCAATGTCTGTTTTATTGACACCTATGTGTCTGCCTGCCTGTCTGCTAATGACAATATTCAATACACAATAATTGTGTTTTAATTTTGTTTGATTTTTTGGTTGCATGTGACCTTTAAACATTATATGTGTGAGGAATACAACACATTTTATTGTCACAGACCGTTCTAAAAACTTTGGCCTCTTTGACCACTTTGATTGGAGGTTTCATAGGAATAACATTGGATCGTGTTGTAGTTTGTGTTTATTAGAAAAGTGAATGTATACATGTTCGAATAATTTAAATCCGTTTTCTAGTGACCACTTGTGTATTTTGCTAACACAACGTCGTAATTGTCTTTCAATAGTGGTCACCTTAATTCTTGTTTTTAGAAAATAACTTGCTCTCTTATGAAACTTTATCAAATGTATTCAATACAACTTATGGGTGAAACCCGTGAAGACCCGGGTTAGAATTGATTTTCAGTAACCCATGCTTGTCGTAAAAGACGTTTAACGGGATCGGGTGGTCAGGCTCGCTGACTTGGACGACACAATCATGTCATCGTATCCCAATTGGGTAGATCGATGCTCATGCTGTTGATCACTGGCTTGTCTGGTCCAGATCCGATCATTACAGACCGCCGCCATATAGCTGGAATATTGCCGAGTGCGGCGTAAAACTAAACTCACTCACTCACTCACTTATGAGTTTTGAGTGCGGTCCGTTTCATCTGTACACTGCTACTATGAAATATAGGCTCAAAATAACGAGAATACCAGAAAACAGATCTGTTAGAAAGATTTTATATCGTGCTTTATAGAAATGATGAAAAGGCACGAGTCATTCGTCGTCACTTATTTAGAACTAGTTTTAGTCACGATATGGCTGAAATATTGCCGATGTGACTATAAATTTCAACTCACTCACTCACTCGTCGTCACTTGCATGGTTTAGAAACAAGATGTCTGTTGACAATATATGTTTCCTTTCAGAACAGGACATCACTGCTGTCAGACTACAAGAACCCGTGCTGGAAGGCCCGGAACGATACGATCCAATGCCTCCCGTATTTCCATCTCATTGGATCCGACAAATGCGGATCTACTGATCTGTTCAACAGAATTACTCATCACCCGGATGTAGAGACGTGTACATGTACTCTTGGGAAGGAGTCCAGCTACTGGAGCTGGCGTCGCTATGGTAACGCGTCGTTTTTTCTCTTGTCAAAAAACAAAATTGCAATATACTATATTAGGGCTCCCATCCACCAAGGTATTCCTCATGAAAAGATACAATTTATGAAATTGGTTAAACAGATAGTGTCGCCACAGGGTAATTATCAACCATATACGTGGTGTCGTTGATGCGATGAACTGATTCTATTGGACGATGAACGTCTGTCTTTATACGAAACTGATTCTATTGGACAATGAACGTCTGTCTCTATATGTAACTGATTCTATTGGACGATGAACGTCTGTCTTTATACGAAACTGATTCTATTGGACGATGAACGTCTATCTTTATACGAAACTGATTCTATTGGACGATGAACGTCTGTCTTCATACCAAACTGATTCTATTGGACGATGAACGTCTGTCTTTATATGAAACTGATTCTATTGGACGATGAACGTCTGACCTCATACGAAACTGATTCTATTGGACGATGAACGTCTGTCTCTGTATGTAACTGATTCTTTTGGACGATGATCGTCTGTCTTTATATGAAACTGATTCTATTGGACGATGAACGTCTGTCTTTATATGAAACTGATTCTATTGGACGATGAACGTCTGTCTTTATACGGAACTGATTCTATTGGACGATGAACGTATGTCTTAATATGAAACCAAGGGGCAAAAGAAAATTTGAGTTCGTTTTTTCATGTAATTTAAGATCACGAGACATATTGTTAAATCCTATAATATCTAAGTATCTATCATTGATTGCGCTTTGAGATACTATTCTATGGCTGGGTAAATCAGCGTAAAAATTAAATGGTTCAAGTAAGTGAGTGAGTGCGTTCAAATTTAACGTCACGTCGGCAATATTGCAGCCATATCGTGACAAGAATGTGAATAATAAATAAAGTCGTAATAAATAAAGTCAAATTATTAATCCCTGTCAACGAAAGACAGTAAAACAACAAGAGGATCAGGGATATTAGATATAAAACTAGTATGAAAAGCTAAAAACTTTTAACTATAGAAGACAATACAATATCAAAACAGGCTATATATTGCAAACAACTGAAGGTAGATCACCATACTAGGGACCATGGGGACTTACAGTACCTTTGCTACCTGCATGGACCCTAGCTGGATTTACACCATCCCTTCAGCCGTTAGCAATTGGCCTGGATGCCACAGGGACATATATGTCCTTCCCCTTCAACCCTCAATTTGAAGTCGAATAAAAATCAAAATATCCCACGCACACAAATACACTTCACAGTTTCGAATTCTGCGGGAAATTTCCTGTTTCTTGATACCATCCAGTATTATTTTAGACAAAGCTCAAGTGCTGAAAATGACCTTTTAAAATAGGCTTCATCGAAAATTGCGACATTTTTGACACAGTATGAAATCGCGATTCACAGCGTTATTTGCTATATGTTTTGAAATGTGAAAATCGGATAATTCCTGGGAGTATTGAATTTAAAAAATAACCTATTCATGATCACTGATATCAGTTTTACATGAAATCGCTAATTATAATTCTGAAACGTTGACGATGAATCTAGAATCGGTTGGGATGTTTTCGAAAATGCACTTACACGAACACCGTAGAGCGCTTTCCGCCATATTGGATAGTGTTTACAAAATCACGTTTCGCGAAGGCCGGTATTGAGACGCCTATTACATCACGTATATCTCATATTCAGCTTCGAAAAATGCATCCCTGAATTCCCCATACATTTTAGAATCAATTTGAAACTGGTCTGTGTCACCAATATTAACTGTCTAGATAAAATGAGACGAAACATATTGGGTGTGAAAACGAACGCTGTGCTTGAAAGACTGCGTTTGTGTGAAATGTAAACAAAGACAAATTCCGATTTTACACTGCGTAGCATTTTCAGAAATTTTCCAACATTCATCCGTCTATTCATTGCTTGCAATGGCTCTATACCTTTAGAATATACATGGAAAGAGTATCGTAGCAAGAAATAGGAAATTATAAATAGATACAATGCAATCATTTGATAATTCATAAGAAATTGTCAAAGTTTCCGTGCAGCGTGACGCCATGACTGACGCAAAATCACGCAGAACGACAACTGTAATTATCAGCATTTCTGGCTTCTGTAAACGTACTTATTTTCGCGTGGTGCAATTTTCGCGGAATTGACAGTTTAGACTACATCGCGCGGTCAATTATTCGCGCAATCAGTAATTGCCGGAACTGCCAGCTGTCTCTCTGGCCGCCACTAATAGCAGTGAAAACAAACAGAGTGGCTTAACCTGTCAGGTGGCGTTTATTACTTACTCACAGGAAATCCGTATCTGTGCGATATACTAGTACACAGTAGCCTGTTTACTCCCGGAAGAGAAGAAAAACACACCAGTATTATGTTCCGAATTCTGACGATCTGACTAATTAACTTATCCTGTATATGAAGCTCTTTGTGATTTCAAACAAGCCGGGTTGTTGTGAATGAGATGATTGAGTGTTAGTGACTATTCGCTTCATGATGATACGTTTGTATCTAAATGAATAAATAAATACTGCTGTATTATTTCTTTCCGAGTCGTTTCATGGTACAATATATAACAAGTTTTATGGATAACAACTTCTTTATTTTCGTGAGTGCGACGTTTCGATACAGATTCTTGAACCGTTGTCAAGCAAGAGTGATACATGAAGTGTAGGAGCTGCATATATATACTGTATATAACAATGAAACAACATAATAGACAAAGGAAACAACATAATTGCCATGATTGGCTAAGCAGTAAGCTGATGAAGCCAGTAAGTACATAAAGGATAGTGAGTGGAAGCCAGAGATGTAGTTACAATGAGATGTTTATACAATGGATGCGATGTTTATACAATAGACTGGGCTTGGTGGAGGAGTGGATCATAAGCAGATGGAATGAAGTATCCTTGGTCACGGTTGATGGTAGGCTTGTGGCGTTTGATGTGAGAATCTGTATCGAAACGTCGCACTCACGAAAATAAAGAAGTTGTTATCCATAAAACTTGTTATATATTGTACGTCTCAACTTCTAAAATGCCACTCAAACAAGTCGTTTCATGGTAATCTGTTTTGCATCAAACCATCTGTCATGTGACCAATTTCCATGGCGGCCACAACACACATTGCTGTTTTCGCTAATTCGGCGATGGGGATTTGGCTCATTATATAATTATGTTTTGGGAAATCCATTACAGCGACAGTTAAGTTTGATTCTTTATGCTACTATCAGTCGTCATTTTAAGATTCCCGTAGATTTCTGTCTTCAAACGTGATGTGTTATGGTAACAACTCAGGGCGAGCGTGGCTAGACTGAATGAATGACAGGTTTATTCGCGGTGTATAAATTTTCGCGCTAAAATGTTTTGCGCGAAAAGCGCGAAAATAAAACCTGCGCGAAATATACTACGTTTACAGATACAATAGATACAATGCAATGATTTGATAATTCATAAGAAATTGTCAAAGTTTCCGTGCAGCGTCACGCCATGACCGACGCCAAATCACGCAGAACGACAACGGTAATTATCTGCATTTCTGTCCTTTTCTCTTACGTATAGTGAAAACGATAAAAACATATAACAATACACAGATAGTCAGAATCATTCTGATTACTTACATCTCATATTTATGTACAAACGATCCCTGAATCAGTGGAAGGGTCCTCGCAAAATCCTGTGTACCCTTGTCAGCAAAGCCGCCATTTTGTAAGAAATCGGTCAGCGGTAGTGATGTCATACGTCAACATTGTTCTACATATTAGGCAATTTCTTTGAGGTGAACAAGAGTAAACACAATCGCCATATCCTTCCGATTACACTGTCAGTATTATGATGTATATTTTGCGGATAGTTCGGATGCTTTTTAATGAAACTGACTTCAGTATCTACATTTAACCTTGTTCCATATCATATCATACGTGCATATGGGGTTTACGGTGTTTTATTCTTTGAAAGTTTTTTGATTGTTTGAATCATATTTACATAAGAAATTGACATATTTATTGCAATACACCATATTCTAAACCTTTACACAAGTGTTAGAAGATCAAACGTGGCCATAACTGCATCTACTTTAGTTCCTATGATGTACAATATTCAATTTATTTGGACTAATATTGCAATTTCATATGAACAGGTTAATGAACGGTGATATAATTCAACCTTATATGCAAAACTGATAATATTAATGACAATGATTTATATATGAAATGAAATGTATATGCACACATATTTAAAGGAATTGTCTTGTTCATTGCATAATTTTGTGTCGTTTTATAGACAAAAGAATGATGCATATAGATCGGCAAGGTGCGCGTTTGTTGGAAACGTTTTATGATTCTCTATCATTGTTTTCGATAATATATTCAATTCATATTCGATTAAATAATATTGTGATGACATGATATCAAACTCTAACTACTTATAGGAAAATTGTTGAAAAATATATATACCATCTCATGTGTTAATTCGGACAAATCTTTGTATCCATATTCTAATATATAGTTCCATATATAAAAAGCTATCCTTATGCATCTTTCATTGCATACGTATGAAGAGAAATATCTTCAAAATCATAAACAAACAAAATTCTTATCCCAAACAAAATATTCGGGTGTTGGGAAATATTATTTTTATTTACGTTAAATTGATGCCAAACAGGTGCGCATGTTTTTCACAATAAGATACGCTGTCAAACTGTCTAATTGTTGATATATTCAGGACACTATTTAAATGGAAAAATCAGTCATTTTATGTTTTGTCTAAAGAGTGTTAAATTCTGACATAGAAGTCTAGACCTTTGATACAATTAATAGAAATTAAGTGAGATATATACTAATCAGCATACCAATGTCGTCTTTTTCTGACGTCGCAAAATGTATAAAACAAGCGATGACGTCAACTAAAATGTTGTATTATTTTCAGCAATTTCGTTACATTTGAAGATATGGCTAGTACTCTGGTAATAACGATGCAAAATTAGTCAAATTACATCTACACAAACATGAGAATATGGGAATCTGAGAACTAACTTATATATCGGATAGGGCCATTCAAATCGCTATTACGTGCTTTCACATGTAATACGTTGTCATCTTTTCTTATAAATTGTGAAACTACCAAAGCGCATCCGTTCACATTGGGGAACTTTGAATTGGATTAGTGTGGTTCACCATGAATATAAAATAACGAAAATATAGCGTCCGTATCCACAACAAATTCTCTCCAAGTGATCTGGGTTACATTGACCTAGTGTTACGCATAACGGAGTTATGCCCCCTTATCATTATACGTGTATGACCTCTCTGTCTTCGTTTGACGTCGTAGAAGAACATACATTTTTGACATTTATTGCGAGTCATTTTTAATGTTGAGCGTATAACGTTATGCATAAGCACATAAACCCAATTCATATACACTTATGTCGTTCAGATATCAGGCTGTATTTTCTTCGTTCACACTTTCCGTAAAGATGCCCCATTAAAAGATTCTTAGCACAGTGCTTTTATCGGTGCGCGATAAAAAGCGGAGAAATTTACTGCTTTTTAACGCATAACAACAATTTGGACAACATTTAGCAAGGTCTATTTCTCAAACCGCCAAGGTAGTTGCACTTATATTTATACCAACGGATAGGAAATTTAATATTCTACATTTCTGTGTAACTTTATAGCCTTACGTAGATCCAGGACCACGCGAGAGCAATTCTCGCACAACGTTCACTTTTCAAAGCGTATGAAAATGTGCGCCTGAAAAAAAACTCGGCAGCCAGGGGGTTAAGTAAGGATTCTAAGATGCTTCGGTGAAAGATCAAAGGCGCCGACAGTACTTTATCAGACGATAATGTGCGCTTTTTGCATTACGTCACAATGTATTGGCGTCACCGTGCCATTCTAGTCTGCCCCCTCGTAATCGAACACTTTTGCATTACGTCACAATGTAACCGACGTCACGATGCATGTCAGTTGTCATCGCCACGGCCTCCTACAGTAAACTACTCCGTTGCATCCCGTTTCTTGGTTTGCAGTTGCTTCACGCAGCTGACATCACTAGTTTATGTTTTCCGACGTTTAAAAGACTGTCTCAATTCGACTCACAAGTTTTCAGCGGCACGGTAACGTTCGCAATATTTACATTCCCTCAATGCAATCGTGGAATGTCACTTGACAACTCAGCTTCATCTGGATGTACTGATCTAAACTGAAGTTGGTAGTAGAAATGCGACGTTCATATTGCCCCATATGGTTTACGTTAATCACAGATGTAATTAGAGTCTTAGATAACATTTATATTTGAAAAAGATGAGATCATGTATAATTACTCTCTGTTAAGTATTAAGTAAGCGCCTGTACAGTTGACCATTTTACATAGTATTGATAAAATGCGATATTTGCAACTGACTGTAAATGAAACAGATGATGAAATAAACAGAGAGGAATGGGTTTCTGACTAAATGACTGAAAACCATGTATACATGTTCCATTTACTCGTAGGACGATTAATACGACTAAATGACTTTCAAGAAATCATGGTTACATGTTCAATTTACTCGTAAGACGATTAATGCGGCTGTGTCAACCATATTTTGCCCCTGTCACTTGCTGTATATTTTTAGTCGAAATTACAATTACTACGGTTATAACAAACTACAATCAGAGGTCCATTTGAGATCGTTATAACCTGAGTTTACTGAATTGCCAACTTTTGCAGTTAGAAGTCATAGGTATGAGAATATATACTGGAACATAGGGTTTCTCCTACTCTTCGCGATCATTTTATGATTTAAAGTAATGTTTGGTATGTTGACTAAAGTGGTCCATAGTAGTCAGCATAATGAGGACAAATGTGAAGATAAACTGCCATGAGTGAGTAAGTGAGTTTTGTTTTACGCCGAAATCAGCAATATTCCAGCTATATGGCGCCGGTCTGTAAATAATCGAGTCTGGACCTGACAACTGGGAACCCAATCAATCAAGTCAGCGAGCCTGACCACCCGATCCCGTTAGTCGCCTCTTACGACAAGCATGGGTTACTGAATATCAATTCTAACCCGGACCTTCACCGGTCACCCTGCCATGAAATGCATGTTAAGTGAAATCAGTTATTAGCTCTTTGTGATAATTCTTGTAAGGTTTCCATGAAATGTTTCTTTCCTCAAACTAATTTAACCTGTATCCATAACCATGTGTACGATTTGATCGCTAGTTTGGTGTTTTATTGCAGACAGCAGTTTGAGTCGCATAAATTTGGAGACGCATTAGGCTTATAATCTGCTAATGTAGGATGCGATCAGACATACCTTCTCTTATAGAACCTTACGTAAGTGTTTACGTTCAATACGAAACTTCTGAGGCGACTAATGGGATCGGGTGGTCAGGCTCGCTGACTTGGTTGACCCATATGTCATCGTTACCCAATTGCGTAGATCGATGCTCATGATGTTGATCACTGGATTGTCTGTTCAAACAGCTGAATTATTGCTGAGTGCGGCGTTAAACAACAAGCAAACAAACAATACGAAACTATTTACATGTATGAGCAAAGTACAGACAGATTTCCTGGAACAGTGATGGAATAGTGCTTCAAATCATCCTTGTTTGAACATTGAGTGAGAGGCTGAGTTTGGAGAGAGTGGCTGAGTTGGTTTAACGCCGCTTTGAATAGTATTTCAGTTATTGCATGGCGTGCTGATGTGTGAGGAGGCCCGAAGTGATGAATCTCTCACACATATACCACGTGGTGGAACCCAAGAGACTGGATTCGAACTGAAGAGCATAGGTTTCTGGCGTGTACGACTGGGCCATCCATGCTCCCAGTTGTGACAGTGGGATTTGGCCAAGTTATAATTTGTTTAAAAATACAGTTCAGATTTGACCTTTGAACAGTTATAATACAGCTGCATGGTATTGGATAAATCACGATAATGTCTGCATAATATGTATTGTTTCCAATATGTTTTCCAGGTTTCTTTCATAAAAGAATGAATGATCGTCATCAAACGTTTTCTGACTACATCGACGTGTTCAGAGAGGCATCTGTTAAAATAAAAGCTCACACAGTCAATGGCTATCACTCTGAAATTGTAGGTGAGTTATCAAATAGAACATATTGACTATTGGCTTATGACTAGTTGCTGGATGCTTAAAACTAAAAGGGGCGGTGGGGTAGCCTAATGGTTAAAGCGTTACCTAACATGATGCTTACCATGATACCTACATTATACTGCACGATATCTACACGATACCGACATGATACCTAACATGATACATGGGCAGTGGGGTGGCCTAGTGGTCGTCACGCCGAAGACCCGGGTTCGAATTCCCACATTGGTACACATTCTGGTGTCCCCCGCCGTGATGTTGCTGGAATATTGCTAAAAGCGGCGTAAAACCAGTCAGTCAGTCAGTAAAAGGTGAAAATCCCTTTATATTTTTGTTTTTATAAGTGTGTTGATAATCGTAAGAGAAGCACGGCTAGTCTTCTGTCCTTTGGTAAAGATGAACAGCACGAAAATATAGCTGACAGACCAAGGATAATAATCGGAGTGATTTGGGGTTTGGCAGAACAAAGGGAAGCAATCTACACCGAAGTTCACATTCGTAACTACTCGCCTCTTTCCGTGACTTACAAGAAGACTCGTACCCCTATCGTACGCCATTATTGCCAAGAATCGTGGCAAACCAATCAAATCGCGCGTAGTAAAACGCATTTCGAAGCATGAAAATGGCGGCACCGTTGAAGTTTGAAACTTCGCTAAACTATGCAAAGCACAATTTAAACAGAAACTTTGAGCTAAAGGATCAGAAACTTTAAACACTGAAATATATTTAGGGAATGACTGTATTGCTGTTTTGCCCACGGGATATTGGATATTCTAGGGGCCATGTTTGGAAATTCAGAGTTATCTTTCCTTGACAGTAGTACTAGACTATTTTCATCTCCATGCCCGTTTGCGCTTAGACAGGGCCCAGTCGTAAACATGGCCACGAGAGGGGTACGAGACGCCATCCGGCTTGTCGGAATGACACGAGTAGTTACGAATGTGAAGTTCAGAGGACATATATTATAAGATAGGGTAATTGATATAAAATTTAAAAGAAAATGGTTTACTGAAGCCAAGATGTCAATGAAGCGTAAAGGAATAACTATTTCAAAATTCCACGCCTCCTTGTTTGAACTGTTATATATGAGCCACCTGTCCCACTTTGGCAAGACCTCTAGTTCTTAGAGAGTTTCAATTATTGGCTTACATTTATAATTACATTTTGTTCACTAGGGGACGGAACACCGATGGACTTCTGGGATTTCCGCGGATGGACGAGAATCCCTCAGAACAGAGGGCTTAAAGAACCTTTAGTTCTTACTCCACATTTAATGCGCCATGTGTATAAACATATGAAGTTCCTTCTAATCTTCAGGAATCCGATAGACAGGTATATTGTCAATGTTGGTGACAGCATTACGGATGTTTATGAAGGGAAATTTAACTTTAATCTGACGATACCTTTTGTTGTAAATTGAGGTAAATCTTGTGTAAAATTGTGTTGCAATAGCTTGAAAAGTACCACTGTCTTACTCCTCCTTTGAAGAATTTTGTGACAAACTAAGACAGATACACGGTGTTCTATATTCTACCATGACCTCAGTAAATACTGGATTGTGGTTGGTTAATCAAAGTCATTCAGAGGTATAAAATCACGTTTTATACCTCTAATTTTCAAACATGGTATGTATTTAAAAAAAATCTTAATAACGCTCTAAATGTTTTATTTAAGCTATTATACTGTCATATACCTCTGATTTTCCAACACAGTACGGTTATCTCCTAATTCAACAGATTGATATTGAGTCATGGACAAGTGCAATGCATTGATAGTTCGAATAATCCTAACAAATCAAATATAATAAGAACTTCATTAATCTAGACAAAAATCTGCATAAACTATGGATGCTGAGTGCCTTTAAATATGTCAATACATTCCCAGCCTCATATGTCGGGATTAACGGTCTGGACAATCCGGATTTAACTGTAAATTGGCATTGTTACTTTCTGATTATACTCGGTCTATTTGACTTTAAAACTAACTGGATATTCAGAGTCTGATGTTTCCGGATAAAAAATGGGTCCGTACAATCCTGGTTCGACTGTATTTTGTTTTTCAGGTTATATTCGGACTACTTTTTCATGAATTATGGACATTCACCTGAATCATTCCACGACCATGTTATCCTTTCCATCAGAATGATGGAGAACTGCATCCGGGACAATTCTTTGAGAACATGCATGTTCAGTTGGAAGATGTACCATCAACTGCCGGTATTTAATTTCTTGAACTTTCTTTTATAACACCTGTGTGTGAGTTGCATTTAACAGCGCTGTGAACAATATTCCATTAACATCAGGGTGCGTCTGTTTAACGTGGGAGGAAACCCCGAAGTAATGTGTGTCTCAGAAGTTTACCACCGCGTGTAACCCACGAGTATAAATGTTCACATGCCTAGAAACATAATCCGTGCCACCATTGAGTCCACAACCCACCCATTCTCAAATTATACCCGTAAGAGCCTCTCTATCCGTATGTGTTGCCAAGTCATCTGAGATTCCACTAATAGCTGTGCAAAGGTAGATATATTCAATGCGAATGTTAAATTCCTGTGTTCGAACCCTAGATTCGCCTATATAAATATTTCCATGTTCTCCAGTCCCAGTAACTTAATACACAGAAAAACGTAAATCATCAGGTCCTTAAATCTTAGGTATAATTTATAATAGCACGATTATTAGAACCGAATATCATGATTACATCCACATCCTCTCGTTACCAGTAAGTATTGTAACTTGGCACTAGCATTTTAGTTCTCTCGTCATGTAATAGAAGGGGTATGAGTGGGCCAGACACCGGAAGCACCGCAGTTCGCGATCAGGCACGCCAGAAGCTCAGCATATTGTGGTCTGGCATCCTCAATGGTTTCTAGGTTTGTCAACTCGGTGTCTATGCTCGTAAGTATCACCATAGTGGTAAATGTCTGAGAACCGCATCAATTCTGCACTCCCAAATTGAGCTTTCACGAATGTGTATAACTTGAAAAGCGGCGTTAAACGAAGGTTACCTACACACTCACTTTCAAGCGGGAAGCGGGGTTTAGGCACAGCCGCCTCTGACACGGCAATCCTGTACACAACTATAAAAGTCGGCTCCATCCAGAGTCACCTTGATGTTTTATCTTGTCCGCCAGCACGATGTACGTTCTCGTTGGTTGAACCCAGTTGCAAACACCCGCGATCTCTGTCACTTTTTATCTGATAATTTGAAATACTACCGAAAGCGGCCCGATTCATTTATTATTTGTCTTCCATCTTTCAGACCCGACTCCATATTGGCTGTTACTCGGTGTTTCTCAAGGAATGGCTTGCTGTCTTTCCGCGAGAGGACTTCCTCATCTTGAAGACAGAGGACTACAAGATAGATGCACTGGGGACTCTCCGAGACGTCTTCAACTTTTTATTACTACGTATGTTGCATAATGCTTAACACCATTTCAAAAACTTTATATTTTAGGAGGTATTCCAAGAAAAGGTAATGTTAGAAGCCGATAGGTGTTTTCATGTCGATTGAATGTTCAAGTACCTACATGATACCTACATTATACATATCATGATACCTACATAATACCTAACATGGTACCTAACATGATACCTAGCATGATACCTACATGATACCTACATAATACCTAACATGATACCTACATGGTACCTAACATGATGCCTACCATGATACCTACATTATACTGCACGATATCTACATGATACCGACATGATACCTACAATGATGCCTACCATGATGCCTAACATGATACCTATATTATACTGCACGATCTCTACATGATACCGACATGATACCTATTATGATGCCTAACATGACATCTACATGATATCTACATGATACCTACATGATACCTACATGATATCTACATAATACCTAATATGATGCCTAACATGATGCTTACCATGATACCTAACATGATACCTACGTAATACCTAACATGATACCTACATGATACCTAACATGATGCCTACCATGATACCTACACTATACTGCACGACATCTACATGATACCGACATGATACCTAACATGACACCTAACATGATGCCTACCATGATACCTACGTTATACTGCACGATATCTACACGATACCGACATGATGCCTGACATGATACCTAACATGATGCTTACCATGATACCTACATGATACCTAACATGATGCCTAACATGATACCTAACATAATGCCAAACATGAGACCTAACATGATACCTAACATGATGCTTACCATGATACCTACATCATACCTAACATGATACCTAACATGATACCTACCATGATGCCTACCATGATGCCTAACATGATACCTACATTATACTGCACGATATCTACATGATACCGACATGATACCTAGCATGATACCTAACATGATGCTTACCATGATACCTAACATGATTCCTAACATGATGCTTACCATGATACATGATAACATGATACCTAACATGATACCTACAATGATGCTACAATGATGCTTACCATGACACCTACCATGACACCTACCATGATACCTAACATGATGCTTACCATGATACCTAACATGATACCTAACATGATGCCTAACATGATACCTAGCATGATACCTACATGATATCTACATAATACCTAACATGATACCTACATGGTACCTAACATGATGCCTACCATGATACCTACATAATACCTAACATGGTACCTAACATGATACCTAGCATGATACCTACATGATACCTACATAATACCTAACATGATACCTACATGGTACCTAACATGATGCCTACCATGATACCTACATTATACTGCACGATATCTACATGATCCCGATATGATACCTAACATGATACCTAACATGATGCCTACCATGATACCTACCATGATGCCTAACATGATACCTAACATGATACCTAACATGATACCTAACATGATCCTAACATGATACCTAACATGATACCTAACATGATGCCTAACATGATACCTAACATGATACCTAACATGATACCTAACATGATACCTAACATGATCCCTAACATGATACCTAACATGATACCTAACATGATGCCTAACATGATACCTAACATGATACGCTTACAATGATACCTAACATGATGCTTACCATGATACCTAACATGATACCGACTATTATGCCTACCATGATACCTACATGATGCCTAACATGATACCTAACATGATGCTTACAATGATACCTAACATGATGCTTACCATGATACCTAACATGATACCTACATGATGCCTACCATGATACCTACATGATGCTGATACCTACCATGACGCTACATACCATGATACCTACATGATGCCTAACATGATACCTAACATGATGCTTACAATGATACCTAACATGATGCTTACCATGATACCTAACATGATACCGACTATTATGCCTACCATGATACCTACATGATGCCTAACATGATACCTACCATGATGTTTACAATGATACCAACCATGATGCTTACCATGATACCTAACATGATACCGACTATTATGCTTAACATGATACCTACCATGATGCCTAACATGATACCTAATGTGATACCTACCATGATACCTACATGATACCTACATGATACTCTACGATATCTACATGATACCGACATGATATCTACATGATGCCTACATGATATCTACATGATACCTACATGATATCTACATAATACCTAACATGATACCTAACATGATACCTAACATGATGCCTAACATGATACCTAACATGATGCTTACTATGATACCTATATGCTACCTACATTATACTGCACGATATCTACATGATACCTACATGATGCCTACATGATATCTACATGATACCTACATGATATCTACATAATACCTAACATAATACCTAACATGATACCTAGATACCTACCTGATACCTACATGATATCTACATGATACCTACATGATATCTACATACTACCTAACATGATACCTAACATGATACCTACATGATACCAACATTATACTGTACGATATCTACATGATACTTAACATGATATCTACATGATACCTAACATGATACCTACATGATATCTACATGATACCTACATGATATCTACATAATACCTAACATGGTACTTAACATGATACCTAGTATGATACCTACATGATATCTACATAATACCTAACATGATACCTACATGGTACCTAACAGGATGCCTACCATGATACCTACATAATACCTAACATGATACCTAACATGATGCTTACCATGATACCTACCATGATGCTTACCATGATACTAACCATGATGCTTACCATGATACCTAACATGATGCCTAACATGATACCTACCATGATGCTTACCAATATACCTAACATGATACCGACCATGATGCCTAACATGATACCTACCATGATGCCTAACATGATACCTAATGTGATACCTAACATGATGCCTACATGATACCTACATTATACTGCACGATATCTACATGATACCTTACATGATATCTACATGATGCCTACATGATATCTACATGATACCTACATGATATCTACATAATACCTAACATGATACCTAACATGATACCTACCATGATGCCTACCATGATGCCTAACATGATACCTACATTATACTGTACGATATCTACATGATACCGACATGATACCTAACATGATACCTAACATGATACCTAACATGATGCTTACCATGATAACTAACATGATACCTAACATGATACCTAACATGATGCCTAACATGATACCTAACATGATGCTTACTATGATACCTACATGCTACCTACATTATACTGCACGATATCTACATGATACCTACATGATGCCTACATGATATCTACATGATACCTACATGATATCTACATAATACCTAACATGATACCTAACATGAAACCTACATGATACTTACATGATATCTACATGATATCTACATGATACCTACATGATACCTACATGATATCTACATTATACCTAACATGATACCTAACATGATACCTACATGACACCAACATTATACTGTACGATATCTACATGATACTTAACATGATATCTACATGATACCTAACATGATACCTACATGATATCTACATGATACCTACATGATATCTACATAATACTTAACATGGTACTTAACATGATACCTAGCATGATACCTACATGATATCTACATAATACCTTACATGATACCTACATGGTACCTAACAGGATGCCTACCATGATACCTACATAATACCTAACATGATACCTAACATGATGCTTACCATGACACCTACATTTTACTGCACGATATCTACATGATACCGACATGATACCTAACATGATACATGGGCGGTGGGGTTGGCTAGTGGTCGTCACGCCGAAGACACGGGTTCGATTTCCCACATGAGTTCAATGTGTGAAGCCCATTTCTGGTGTCCCCCGCCGAGATATTGCTGGAATATTGCTAGAAGCGGCGTAAAACTCAACTCACTCACTCACCTAACATGATACCTAACATGATATCTACATGATATGTAACATGGTGCGAACATAATACTGCATGGTACCTACATGATACCTAACATGATACCTACATAATACCTACATGGTACCTACATGATACCAAACATGATACCTAACATGATACCTACATGATACCTAACATGATACCTAAATGACACCTACATAATACCTACATGATACCAAACATGATACCTAACATGATACCTACATGATACCTAACATGATGCCTACATGATACCTAACATGATACCTAACACGATACCTAACATACCTAACGATACCTAAATGACACCTACATAATACCTACATATACCAAACATGATACCTACATGATACCTAAAATGCCTACATGATACCAAACATGATACCTACATGATACCTAATATGATACCTACATGATACCTAACATGATGCCTACATGATACCTACATGATACCTAACATGATACCTAACATGATACCTAACATGATACCTAAATGACACCTACATAATACCTACTTCTACCAAACATGATACCTAACATGATACCTACAAGATACCTAACATAATGCCTACATGATACTTACATATATATTTGCATGATACCAAACATGATACCTACATAATATCTAACATGGTACCTACATGATACCTAAGGCTCGCAGATGGTTCAATTGTCTAAGGCGCCAAAATTCTCTGTGCAGAGTTGATGTCCTTGGCACACACCAGAAACGTGTGATCGGGGGTTCGAATCCCGGTTCATTATGTCTGTAGGTTTGTCAGCACCATCACCCGGGTCATGAGTTACACCAACGTGAATCACTACAGGCTTGTCTCCGACAATACGCTGACACGCTTGGAACTGAGCTACTGTTCACAGCTTCGTTAAACCCAAGCCACTCACCAGCTACATGATACATGTACAAATATAACTATTGACCAACTCAAATTAAAACTCGGATATGTATAAATAATCACAATGAATGTATTTTCAGCTCCACTGAATGAAACGGCTATGGACAATCTCACAGAACTGAAAAGACGACACGAAACCAAGTCTAAGAAACGTGCTCCGGCAATGAAGAATATTACAAGAACAATACTCCATGAATTTTACGCTGAATATAATAAAGAACTCGCTTTTATACTACAAGATGACAGATTCCTATGGGAGACATGACGGTGACAAGTGGCATAACCTTCTCTTATGTGTATTATTTAAAAATCGTGTAAATAAATTTCATTAAAATGTTGATAATTTATTTGGAGCATTTTGTGCAGTGTTGATGTCACTGATACTTGTGTTGTACTCCGACGGCATGAGTGCTGCTTGGTATCAACCATTTGTTTTAGTGTGCTAAATACTTACATGATACTAATTTGTTTTCTCGTGAAGTCCTTAATACTTAATACACCTTTTTGGTATCTGTGGACACAGAAAAACCGTTAATCATCAGGCACTTAAATCTTAGGTACAGTTTATCATTACATCCACATCCTCTTGTTACCAGTTATCAGTAGCTATTGTAACTTGGTACTGGCATTTTAGTTCCCTCGTCATGTGATTGAGTGGCCATGAATGGCAGACACCGGAACCACCGCAATTCGCCATCAGGCACGCCAGAAACTTAACATTGTGGTCTGACATCCTCAATGGTTTCTAGGTTTGTCAACTTGTTAGTCTCACCACACTGGTAACGTCTGAGGCCTGCATCATTTTGTCCCTCCCACATTGAGGTATCCCCACAGACACAAATTTGTATAACTTGAAAACGGCATTAAACAAATATATTAATGTTAGAAGAGGTTTGTTTAAAATTCAAATTAATCTTAAAATTAAACTTTTTTACAATGGTCAATACGTTTCACAGTTTGCCAGTTGGTAAAGTGTTAGCCTCTACTATGACTATGACTGATCGTACTCGAAAATGAAACGTCCTGGGGTGTGCGTATTTTAACTGTGTCCTTTGCACTCTTGTAATGGCAAATTCATGATATAATACCTAACGAGTTCAGATTTGGACTGATCAATGGTAACACAAGTTTTAAAAAAATGTATCTATGTCAACAGGTAAATGCTGAAGTGAATACTAGAATAAATTTTCCCTTGTTGGCCCGTCTCGTGTTTTTCTACCGCAATGTAAGGGTGAATGAAAATATTAGTGACTCGCTATTACAAATTATACGAGCATAAATGCAAATTGTAAATCTTATTAAAAATATAATTGGAAATACAACAACAATATTTAAAAAATTGCCCTCTCTGGTACTCTCACATTTATATAGAAGGAGTGAGTGGGTATGGATTTACCCCGCTTTTAGCAATGTTCCAGCAATATAACGGCGGGGGACACCACAAATGGTGAGAGAGAGAGAGAGACGCAACCCGGGTGAGTCGCGTTGGTCACTCAGATAGACAGATATTTTATTTAAGTCTAACCTCAGGTAAAAGTACAGATATATACACACATATACATAAAATGAGCCCCCCTTTAAGGGTTATGAGAGACTATTACATAGAAGTGACATATATGATATAAGTAACAATATGAAATTAGCCGTATAAAAGATGTTTTCTTCTTTGAAGTATATAAAAGCAGGATTTGACTGTAAATTAAACATGTTCTTTAAATAGTTAAATCATTTTTTCATTATCACATAAATCTAGGAAGTTGGGATAGCTGAAACACATATGGCCATATAAACTTTCACGTAGATCATCGTACAGCGGACATTCCAACAGTACATGACGTTCATCCTCAATCTTATCACTGCATTGAAAACACACCCTTTCATTTACATTCATGTTTGAATATCTGCCTGTTTCCAACTTTAGAGGTGCAGTACCGGATCTAAACTTGGAAAGGGCAGATCGACAAGAGCGCGGCATTTGCATACTTACATAGCTTTCGCAACCATACACACTTTTAAACATTCTATACGTCCGCAACTTATTGCTACCCACTCTGCCTTCTTGTTTATACAATGCTTCATACCACTCAGATATATACTTTTCCATACAAGTAATCTGTACCCGCTCACATACATTCTTCACACTCACACCCTCTTCCATATTCAGGCCCCATTCTTTAAGTTTGGCTTTCACACGGTTGTTTTTACTCGTCCACCCGCGCACTCAGCCGACCATATAAATACATATTTATTTAATCTACATGGCATTTTGTTAAAGTGGCCGTATTGCCTAATAATACATACCCACTGTCTGACAAAAGGAGGAATCCAGCCCATGTCTCCATTAACCGTAACATTTGGAGCGTATTTACCCACCCCTAAAAAAACCCTCAAAGCACGATGGTGGACGGCATTTACACATGAAATATCTCGATGACCCCAAATAGAAGCCCCATTACTCAGAACCAACCAGACCATCGTATCGTCAGTTTTGTATAAGTAGAGTACTGCATACCTCCGACTGCCTTATATTTGCAAATAAGAAGTCCTAATGCTCTACTAGATTTTAAGAAGGCGTATGATTGTATTAATAGAGGTGTGCTATGGGACAAAGTGAGAAATATTGGTGTAAATGGTAAAATGTGTTTAGCTCTTCAATCTTTGTATACGAATGTAAAATGTAGTGTTCGTAGTAATGGTATTTTAACCCCGTGGTTTGGTGTAAATCGGGGCCTGAAGCAAGGTCGTTTACTTTCTCCAATTCTGTTTAACTGTTTCATTAATGATCTACTTGATAAACTTGGAGAAGTGGGGATTGGTATTCATGTCAAGGACACCGTGATTGCAGCTTTAGCGTATGCTGATGATTTAGTTTTACTTGCAGATTCTACAGATGATCTGAACAGTCTATTAGAGGTTTTAAATTTCTGGTGTATAGATAATGGCATTTGTATAAATAATGAAAAATCTAAAATTGTACATTTTAGGAACGTAAGTGTCAACAGAACGTGTGCTGTTTTTAATGTTGGGAGTTCCTTTTTAGATGGCATGTTCTCCCCTTCAACACATGTACGTCACCAGGCATGCTCTCCCCTTCAACACATGTACGTCACCAGGCATGCTCTCCCCTTCAACACATGTACGTCACCAGGCATGCTCTCCCCTTCAACACATGTACGTCCCCAGGCATGCTCTCCCCTTCAATACAAGTACGTCTCCAGGCATGCTCTCCCCTTCAACACATGTACGTCTCCAGGCATGCTCTCCCCTTCAACAAATGTACGTTACCAGGCATGCTCTCCCCTTCAACACACTCACTCTCCACAGTGACGTCACCATGCAGCAGTTCACAGTAATCAGTCTTCCATTTCTCTAACACATCACTCCAGTTATCAGACACACTTCCATCCATTAAGACCACTCTCACTCATGTGAAACCCGTTGCACACACGCATTTCGGAGGGAACAAACTTTTGACCAAAGGAGGACCCATGATAATCTAAAATTGGAGGTTGTAACAGAGAGATCAATTTAAAATTATCTAATGAAGTCTTTTTAGATGTGATCTTGCAGGAAAATAAGAGTGATTTGATCAGTCAGACGCATCTTATATATATATGACCTTTTGTTTCAACATGTTTTTCCCATTGTGTTCTTGTCATTGAAACCTTTGTGTAAATTCACAAATTCGGCATGACTTCCAGTGAGTTTATGCATGAGGTTCCCCGGTGTATTGTTTTTTTTATAGGATTGTAATTACTTTATGATGGCTTCGGTCATTTTGTGACATCGAGCTCCTTGCCAAAGGAGATTCCAATTTGAAAGAGCAGGTTCTCCTTGTCGAGTCCTTTTCTAATCATATTGGCATGACATTTGGACTCGACAAATGTAATACTCTTCATTTGAAACGTGGCAAGGTAACAAATGATGGATCGGTCAAGTTACAATGGGGAGGAGTTATTAAGCATCTTGTGAAAGATCAGGCCTACACCTATCTTGGAATGCAAGTTCGAGACAAGCTCCAGAATGCCCAGATTCAAGACAAACTTCGGGCCAAGTACAAATCTCGTTTAAAGAAAATCTGGAGCTCAGAGCTAAATGCTCAAAACAAGGTGAAAGCCACCAATACATTTGCTGTGCCAGTCCTTTCCTATTCCTTTGGAGTAGTTGATTGGGCAGACAAGACATCCAGAGTCTTGACCGTCTGACCAGAAGGATCATGTCTGATAACAGAGCCCACCACCCTCGGTCCTCTCTTAACCGTTTATACATGCCAATCAATTCTGGAGGTCGGGGTTCGATTAATGTGGAGGCACTTCATGATAGAATTTTATTGTGTACTTTTGCACATATTTATTTATCGGATGATCCTCTAGTGATGCATGTGAAGACTCATGATGAAAGCAAGGAATTCCACAGCTATTTTAAGCGTGCCAAGGTTGTTGGACAGAATCTGAAATTTGAGGTTGATTTTGTTGATGGCGATGTACTGCTGGACGGTACAGTGATGGGAGTAAATCCGGTGAAGTCCTTCACCAAGTCTGCCCAGAGTCGGTCTTTTGTGGAGAAGCTTTCTGAGAAGCCATTGCATCGTGTGTACATGCAGTGTTTGGAACAAAATAGCAATCCCACCGACTCCTTCGCCTGGATGAAGTCGGCTGGTCTTAAATGTGAAACTGAGGGCTTCCTTTTTGCTGCTCAGGACCAGTCACTTCCCACTCGCAATCGCCTAAATGTGATTCTTAAAGAAAATATCAATATGAAATGTCGACTTTGCAATGAATTCACGGAGACTGTCCAACACCTTGTCAGTGGATGCCCTTCCTTGGCACAAACAGCATATCTTAAACGACATGATGGCCTGGCTCGTTGCTTTTACTACCGTCTCCGACATGCCTGTGGCTTTGACTCCAAGGTCCATCCATGGTTCGACCCTGAACATGTCCAGGGCGTCATGGAAAATGATGCTTTCAAACTTCTCTGGAATAGGCCCATATACAGCCTCAGAAGAATTCCTGCCAACAAACCTGATCTTGTCCTTTTTGATAAAGCCAATGAATATATTTATATCATTGAATTTTCTGTCCCTTTTGACACCAATGTGATTGGCAAGATTCAGGAAAAGCAAGATAAATATACGGACCTCGCCTTTGAAATGTCTTGCCTGCATCCCAAGTACACTGTCGCCAGGCTCCCCATTGTTCTCGGTGCCCTTGGTTTGGCGCTCCTGATCTCTTGGCGCAGATCAGGAGAGTGCCTGGGTTCTCCACCGGGAGTACAGCCCTTCTGACACTCTGGGCAATGCAGAAGGCTGCAGTGTTGGAGAGCCTTCATATTCTCCGGAAAGTTC